CACTGCATCTTAATTTGATCAAAGGTATAAAATACCGACACGCTGATCAATAAGACACATGTGCAATAATAAGAACATAAGCACGAAGGAGCACACAGCAGTCCTACTGGCCCATGCTAGGCAGGTTCGATTCACACCCCCTCAGACACACCTCATGTACCCGTCCAACCTATATTTAAAGTTAAATTACCCAAAGTTTTTGGCTGAATGGAATTTGTTCCATTAATCTACAACTCTACTGACAAATCAGTACTTCATAATATCCTTTCTGAATCTAAATTTCTCCAACTTGAATCCAAATCTGCGAGTCCTGTCTTAAGTTAATTTATTCCTGACTTCCATTTATATACTTCAGGCGTATGTCCCCTAAATCTACGCCTTTCCAAAAAGTGCGAATTCAGTACCTTCAGCCTATTTTCATAAATGTTTTTAATACGTGGAATCAACTTCATTCTTCTCTGTATATTTCGAGCGCATGTAGATCTTAATCCATCCTGTAATATGGATGCACTAAGCTCTACATTGTTAAGCTTATAAATTTCATTACGTTATTTCCTTTTCCTAGGATTAGAGCCTTACACTTGTCTGCATTGAGCTTCATCTGCCACTTCTCCGGCAACAACATCAGCCTTTTCAGGTTACCCTGTAAGCTTTTTAGTTTCCACATCAGAAATTATTTAACAGCCTATTTTAACGTCACCAGCAAGCAACTATGTCGCTATTTATTCCTCTCATCAATGCCATTTATTTAGATTATAAACAAGGTCCCAATACTGACCCCTGTGGCACACCACTGCTAACAGGTTCCCATTCCGATTTATTAATGAAAATGCAGACATACTGTTGCCTATCAGTCACCAAGTCTTAACGCAGGAGAATTTCTTTTATTCAATGTGCCCCTGTCTTTCTTAATCCTATTATCTTCCTTGCCTAGAATTCTTTATTGAAAAAGTTAATAAATTCGTAAGACAAGAAGACCCCCTTTGTAAAACAGTGACGAGATTCGCTGATCAAATTATATCTTTCAAGGTAGCTTTGAACTGCATCAGCAACTACTGATTCCATCAACTTTACTACAAGTGAGGTTAGGATGACTGCTCAATAATCTGAAGCTAAGGACCTATCTCCCACTTTGTAAATGAGTATTATACTTGCCATTTTTAATTTATTCGGTTGAAGAGACTAATTGTTTGATAAGTTCCTCCTGATAGTCCTACAGAACCCTTGAAAACAGTTATCAGGGCCTCGTAACTTGTTTGGTTTCAAACTATTTAGTTGCTCGAGGGTCATGTCATTAGTGACTTTGACACTGTATAATTTATTTTCGTCCTGACCGATAAACCGGTAATTATTGATTTCTGTTATTTCGCTTATATCCTCTTCAATTTGAAAAAAAAAAAAGGAAATAAGTACTGAAAATGGTAGACATTTCTGGGTCTATCTGATGCCTACATAAAGCCAATGATGGGCAAAACGCCTCACATATAAAGATCGCCAAATGTTTATGTATCTCATTCATCAACACTTTTACCGCCTCATATTAAATCATTTTGTCCTGTTTTGTCTTTCTCATTTTAGGAGAATGTTTCAAAAATTCTTTTTAGCATTATATTTTCATTACAAATTTCATTGCAGCACTTCACATTTTTATCCCTTTTTTTCCATACCAAGAAATTTTCCTGAAAATTACTTCAATAATGTAATCTTTGTTTTTTTTTTTCTGATATTCAATATATCATGGCTTTAAACTCTCAGTGTCTTTGATATTACTCCAACAATTTTTGCATAGAGAATCAAACAATTTTTTTGTTGAGTGTTAATTTGACTATGTTTATCTACCTTCTCTATTACTAGTATCTGTCCTGTGGGCTAAGCAACCATTTGCATGGAGACTTCACACGTCTTAGTAACAAACAAATTTACAATATTGGAATTTTGGGCTCAGTAAAACTTGTTAAAACAAAAATAGAAATGTCCGCAGAATGTGCCTGTCTTATTGTATATGAAAGCTACACTGTGGGAACAAAAACCAGCTGTGTTTCCCTTTAACATTCCAATACTCGTCATTGACTGTATACATGAGGTGATGAAATCAGGGAGACTAAGTGTTTGGTATTGAATAGGATAACTGTCGAAGAGAGTAACGTGGAATTATGGTTAAATATGGCGAGGAATATTGGTGAAGCGTGGTGGGGTAGTGAAGGTGATGTGGCGGGTGGGTATGATAGAGGGAGTAAAGTGTGTTTTTTTTTTTGTAAGAAAATAAAGACACAGGTGCTGGGTGTATGAGGGTGCATGTGTGTCCTCAGCAATAACACTTCTATCACACAGGTTTTCGGAGTGCTGCAGGAGTGGGGCCTCAGATTGGACAATGCCGAAGGCTGCGACAAGTACCACCTACGTATCCTCAACTCCACCAATGAGTATGTTGATCCTGACAACATTGCACTGGCCATCATCCTCTGTCCCTACGCCACGGTGAGTCTGAAATTTGGGTCACTCGATCCGTCCATTGTGAAACATTCTTCTAGGCCAGTCCGCTGACAACTAGAAGAGTACAATTAGTAACATGTCTATCTCGCGATTAAAGAACGGAGTACAGAGCCTCCTTAGCTTGCGCGAAATGGCCCAAACGGGCTTTGCGCTACACGTATACTACTACTACTAATAATAATAATCTGTTTACCTAGTTATCGTACTCTATTCCTACATCACAGAGTGTGGCCATTTTGAGTCATTTCGTTGACTTGGCCATTATACTCTGCCCTTACACAGGTGATTCTTCAGTCGACCTGGCCGTCATCCTCACTTCTCTGCTCACTATTGTCAGCCTGGTTATCCATCTGAGGCTTGGCCACAGTTGTTTACTCCTCTGAACACAACGGTTACCGTTCAATGCACACCAATATGCACACAAATTCGGTAAAACTTAAAATGTGTGCAGAGTCCACTGTCAACATGTAAAGCCTTTTCCAGATCCAGTGTTGTTTATTTATTTACTGAGCTCACAAAATCTGTTAGCATCTGGGAAAGCCATTCAGGACTGGATGTCGGTTTTCTAGAACGTCTCAATTAGTGATTCAAGATAGACTTGCAAGCTTGACCTTTAAGACTTGGAATCGCTTTGTATTTCGAGGATTAGACCGCCGTTGAAAAAAATACAGCTCAAATTTTGTTTTAAGTTACTCTGTATTTAAAATTGCTATTTGTTAATTTGGTAAGAATGATTGTTTTTACCTAATTTTAACAATATTTTACATTATATATCTGAAGATCATTGCTTTTATATTAGAATGTTAATACTAAAACACCCTTTAAAAGTATGATTTGCAACTACATAGTTGTAACCAGTGTTAAAACTATGACCATAATTTTTAAAGGGGTGGACCGGTAAGCCATCGGAAGGCCTCGGTCAGATGACCAAAAGCTCCAACGGCGGGCCATCATCTAAGACCCGCGTCTGATGGGAAACCGAGTTCTCCGAAACATCTGAAACATTATATTGAAGCTAACCTTGGTGTTACTGTTCCTGATAAAAACTAAGGTTCCGTAAGGGTAAACATATATATCTATATATAAAATATAGGGAGGTACCACCTCTAGAACTGTCCTGGGGACCCTCATCCTCAGAGAAAAGAATAAACTTGCTTCAGGGAAAACTCAAGGTTCTCCCTGAAGCTGTTTGAAAATTTTCTCATACCACCCCCTATATATTCTACATATGCTTTATTTAAAAACAAGATACACTGACAAAAATGTAATATGGAGTAAAACAACATAGATAAGAACTCAGAGCTAAATCCCGAATACTTCGTCCAGCTCCCCAGCGGTGGGCCACGTGCCCAGAATGCTGCAGGTATTTCCTCTCTGGATCGCGACACTGAGTCTCTAAAAGAGGAAGCTGGTCGCCCTGTGGTCCTTGGTTTCTATGACGAGTTTTTTCACCCAGCTCTTTGAGGAACTTTAAAGCACACTTGCCCCATGCTCCAAGGGTCTCCGACCCTATTGGGATGAAGTTATAACAAGGGGGAATGTCTTCATATTTGCGGATCTTCTGGGTCTCCCTGTGGCTGGCAGCTCCACCCCCTTCAGCTACTGAGTATGGCAAGTAGGTGTCTGCCAATGTCGTGGCGCAGGTGTAGTCCAAGGCAATCTGCTTTCCATCCTTCCAGGGTAGCATAGTGGCTCTATCAGGACGCTTTTGACTTCCGTCAGACCTCTGCACTTGGGGTTCCCATTGAGCTGGACAACGGGCTGTGGCGAGGCTTCTCTTCATGATGTCATTGACCTCATGTCTGGCATACTTCCCTTTATATATATATATATTATTGTGATCACAAACGAGTGGTATTGATCAGTAACAACACTGCACTAGCCAAGGACTCGAACCCATGCTGCTTTGGCCTGCCTCATGGTGGGCGAAAACACATGACGTCCTTAGCCACGGGACCATATGATCCTTAAGAGTAGCGCATCCAGCGGAACTGAATGTTGTACTCGCTACCCAAGGACACACGATGGTGTGGATGACTCTAGTGACTCGTGTGTCCTTGGGTAGCGAGTGCAACGTTCAGTTCCGCTGGATGCGCTACTCTTAAGGATCGTATGGTCCAGTGGATAAGGGCGTTATGTGTTTTCGCCCACCATGAGGCAGGCCAAAGCAGCATGGGTTCGAGTCCTTGGCTAGTGCAGTGTTGTTATTGATTATATATATATAATATAATATATATATATATATATATTATATATATATATATATATATATATATATATAGTCTTTCTTTCAACACACCGGCCGTATCCCACCGAGGCGGGGTGGCCCAAAAGGAGAAACGAAAGTTTCTCCTTTTACATTTAGTAACATATACAGGAGAAGAGGTTACTAGCCCCCTTGCTCCCGGCATTTTAGTCGCCTCTTACAACACGCATGGCTTACGGAGGAAGAATTCTATTCCACTTCCCCATGGAGATAAGAGGAAATAAACAAGAACAAGAACTAG